GCTACCCTGGTAAGTAGAGGATAGACAAGTAGATTAGAAAACATGCTGCAAAGTGAGAATATCATTGTAAGATGCATGCAATACAGGGACCTGCTGGGAAATCTGTTCCAAATTCTACCTGTATAATTATTCGACTATGTACTAGTATTGAACATAGTATAGCAGCTTTTAGTGTTCAAATAAAAAAAGCACATACCATGGTTTTAGTACTGAAAACCTGTAATATAAAATTAAGTGTTACCTTGCTCTATCTTTCCAGTCCCTGCTGGTTATAGTAATAGTGCTCAACACTAGATTTCCTTCTATCTCTTGGGCACTGGGAACAGTAGAGGGGTTTCATGAAGGTTTTCCTGCAAGTCCCCAAGGGCTATGCAGAATGAAAAAGCACAGCTTGAATTTTGGAATAACAGATAAATCTCTCAGGCTGCTAGAAGAGCATCATGTGTATAAAACAAGCGCGGTCATTAGAAAAATCAGTCACCACCACCGCTGCAAAGCATCCTGCTGCTACATCTCTGGACTTGCTTTTAGGTAGGATGGATATCCTTTCTGAGGCAGATCCATCTTATCTTGTTCAACAAGAAGGGCAGCTAAAAGTTCACTATACAAAAAAACCCCAAGCCAACCACAGAGGTAAGGGTATGGTGACCATTTGCAGCTGGTGGTACGTGCTGTACTATGGGCCACCACCCATTATTCACAACAATGTGGAGGAACCCTAAGGGTAGCAGCCTGATGAGCAAGTCCAGGTTATTTCTTTTGTATTGCAAGTTAAACTCTGATTCAGACATAAGCTTCTGCTGCAGAAAAAATACTACTGCTGCTGCTCGACAACCGTCCTAACAACCCACAGAAAACTGATGAACTTACCTTGCTGTGGTGCTGCAATCAGCAATTAAAACCCATAAGCAAGAGGTTGCTGATGTAGAAGGCGTAACCCCTGATGAATCTCTTGTCCAAAGGGGTTTGAACACCCAGTGGCTTTGACATTGCATGTTTGGTGTAAGCACAGAGGGCCCTTCCTTACCTGGTGGGAGCAGCCGCCAGTCCTCAGCCACAGTGCAAGACCAGAACTGCAAAAACCAACTGTTGGAGGGTATTTTCTGTTTAATTTACACCACCCAGGAAAACAACTCAACTGTTCTTCTGTGGCTGAATGTAAAAGGTAATTAGTTGCAAATCGATGTGTTGATTAGTCCAATTTTAAACCAGCTCATTCTGTCTCTAGAGGAGAGCAGGGCTCTTTGCTGAGGTGTCACATTAGCTGCTGCCAGGTTGTTTCAGAAGTCACTACAAGGGAGCCAGACCAAGGAGAGCAAACTGATGGGACAATGTCATTTTATTCTGTACATTTACATACAAAGTTCTTTTCAGTAGGTACAACAGATGTAACATCATGCAGACATTTAGCTTGTAAGACTGTTTTCAGTACTTGATTTAAGCTTGTGCTATGAGGAAGCACCACCAGACTACTCATGATCAAAACGTACAGTAACACGATTTTTAAAAAACTTCATCAGAAACTGAAATTGGGAGGGAGGTCTCACCCACTAGACATAACACACCATACTCCTTTCCCGAAACATTTTACACAATACATTTAAAATGAGGTTTGTAATTTTAATTTTCTTTAAAAAAAAAAAAAAAAAAAAGAAAGGTTACAGCAGGGGAGAACATCCCCCCACTTAATAGTGTTGTCTTATGTGCCAACTACAGGCGCAACTTGACTTGACATTCAGAGTTCAGTTAATGGCACTTCTGCTTCCAATTTGGTGACCTTTAGTGTTTGGCTCCAGGAAGTAGCAACAGTTAAAATACTTCAATTAAAAAAAAAGGCCAGTTAATGAAACTGAAAAGTAACTCTCACAAACTCCTTCCCGAGTTGCCACAAAACACTTGCAGACAGGAAATGGATAACTGTCATTATCCATTTGCAATGTGTCTGGCAACAAAAGCAGTACTGAAGCCTTAAAAGGGGGGAAAAAACCCCAAGATCAAGCATAATGTCACTTTCACATTTTTGTTTAAACTTACAAAGACAGAGGAAAGCCCTTAAATGGTAAACCCAAAGAAAAATCCATTGATGGGCTTAGAGGTTACTGAAGGTTCACAGAAAAAGGCCAGAATGGACAGGACAGCTTTGGCCACTTTCCCTGCTGCAATGGCCAGAAAAAGCCTCCTGAGAAAAGCCTTTCCTGGTGATGGCTGTGGAGCTAATGGTGCCACAGACTGAGAGCCTTGTCCTGCTGCAGGACTAGGCAGAGGACAGAAAACACCTCCAATTTTTGTTTCTGCCCAGCTGCATCTCCTGGTACCTGACTCCTCCACATGAGATATGCTTAGCAAAAGCTTTCCAACTCTGTGAGCATGTGTGGAAAAAAAGTAATGGCAGAGGTGTTGATCTTTTCAGGAAAAGGAGCAAAACTGGAGCTGCCAAGGCAGTTTGTGCTTTATTGTCATGATGGAGGCAGAGGGCCAGACCAACTTGAAATGTTGGGGCTCCCCACTTTGAAGATCAGTACCAACTACTAGGTTTCAGGTAAAACACCCAAAAAAGCAGCAAATGAAGTCAATTTTATAAGAATTATAATAATAATAATAAAAAAATGCCGCAAGTTCCTGTCACCTAGTTTGTTTATTACATAAACATTGATATGTTTAAACAACTATTCTCTTCCCTGGGCCTCTCTGTCATCAGAGAGCAACCACCAGAATAGGAAACGATAAAGCGCAGTGAACAAGAGCAGTGGACACACCAGGACTGCTGACAGTGCTCGAAGCATCTGATTCAACAGGCCCCTGGATGGTCTACAAGAGCTGTACCATAGCTTGAGCACACAGGCACAGAGACCACGAAGGAAGGGGCTGCTAGCAGGGCACGATAGACGGCAGGACACCACTCTCTGCCTCTGCACTTGCCCTTGCCCCTCCACTTTGAGGCCCTTTTCCTTTGAGACTTGTTGTACTTCTTCAATTTTTTTGTTGTGAACCCACTTTGGTGTTTCTTCCCCCCACCCTCCCCCCAGTGTGTGCGATTTGCAACAAGCATCTCTTTATCAAAGGCAAAAGTTATTGCACAAATTTGGCACATGAATACTGCATAAATGGGGAAGGCCTGGGTTTTTTCCTTAGGTGGACATAGACTGCAGAAGTCTCAGCACAGAACGAAAAGAGAAGCAGCCACGCTCAAACTCGACAATCAAACTCGAGCATAAGGAAGGCTGGGCTCTCACTGTCACAGCAAGTCTAGCAAAGGTGAAGAAAAACAGTAGTGTAAATTTGGGCAAAACTACCATCAACTGGTCCAGTGTTTCTTACCAGGCTCAGGAAGAACCCGGATGTCCACACCCTCTGGACAAAAACTAGCAGCTTTAGGACAACGTTGTTACTCTGAACACAACAATCTCTGTTGCTTCTGCAGGTCCACCCTGTCCCCCTTGCTCTCATCAGCATCTGAGGCTGTGCTACTTACTGCATCGCCTACCTCTGATTTATTTGGGCCTGTAAGAGGACATTGGCAGCCCAATGGAGGATGGAAATTGTTAGGTACAGTAGTTAAATTGACAATATATACAGCACAGGGGGAGGGGGGAGGGAAGGTAGAGGAGGAAAGGGCAAATGAGCGCTTTCCATGCGCGTGAACGCAAGATGGACATCAAAGTGGCAATCATATGGACACTCAATACAACATCGACATCCTGCTGCTCTGCTTGCTTGAACGTCTGCACGGCAGAGCAATCACAAATGGATGGCCTGAGTGAGGAAGGAGAAGAGGGAGGGAGAGGAGGGAGGTTAACTACAACGCAAGAAAGCTGTTCGTTTACAAAGGACTTGCATTGGACTAGATCCTCACGATATTCACGCAGTGAGAACCAAAAGCCAATGGCTAAAGGAAATAGTTGGCTCGGGGGCTAGAGAAGTCAAGTGGCCACTGTCAAAGTGTCATCTGCACAGCAAGAAACAAACTGGATGCTCACTTTGCTTAGCCTAGGGTAGGATCAATCCAATTTAAGGAAACTTTTTGCCCCCCTTTTTCTCTGAATGAAAATCCTACGAGAGCACAGGTGGGAAAGGGGGAAAATGTGGGTGAGTTAATTGTATATTCTTGGGTCAGAACCAGAAAACATCTCTAAAAGCCCCAAGATGCCCAACAGCAGACTATAAGTCATTATTTACAGGCTATCAATTCATTGCTCTCCAGTAGTCACTTAAGCATTTTGTCCACTTAAACTGAAAACAAAACCCCTGTTTCCAAAAACAGGTAAGGCAATGCCAGGACACTCATCTCCCAGGAGTGGGAATCCCAGCTGTGCTGCCTTTTGAAATAAAAGTACAGATTGTAGCCCATGCTCCTTACTTTTTGTCCCTGCTGGTCTATGCTTTTCTCCTGGAGCAGTTGATTGGAGATTCTGGACCTCCTAGTAATTAAAGCCACTCTCAGCAAAACTAATTTTTGCATCATTGGTCAAATAATTCATATCATCTACGTTACTAGTAAACACCAACGGGAACCACCTAAAGTAGATTAATGGACTGTTAAAATGCAGAAGGCTGATTCTCTTGGAAAAATCAGACTGTTTGGGTAGGATTTTCTTCACTGCATTTGGTAAAAAAAAAAAAAAAAGGTACTAATTTAGAAAGTAACTTGTAAGTTCACATGGGCTATAAAAACAAACATAAGCTGCAGTCAGAGTTTGAGTCACAACAGGCTTTGCTTTTTTTTTTGCCTTTTTTTTTTTTGGTCTATACAAACACAGCAGGCAACCTGGGCACTTGGACTTTCTAGACAGGCAGAAGAATGTTGCACAAGTCTAAATTTCAGTCAATTCAACTTTGCAGTGGATCCCTCTTTCCTTTAAAGAAACACAAAACCAAAACAAAAAACAACCCCCCCTTGGTTTCTTTCTTGGAATGGCTGCACCTCTTACAAGAAGATGGCTTCATTTTTGTGATCTATAAAAGGAAAAGGAAATAAAGTGCTTCTTGAGAATAAATCAAAATAAATATACATATTTAATGGCAGGAAAAAAAGACTTCTGAAGGGCTACCTCCAGCCAGGTCTTTTCTCAGATGAGTCTTCCCCCATAATGTTTTCAAGAGCAATCTGCAAAACAGTTGAAGATGCCAAAAGTTGCTTTAGCAGCAGAGTTGAATTCCCCGAAGTCTGTGTCTGCTCCATCACTGGTTTGTAAAGTCTATGCAAAACACCTTTGCCCAAAGTGCTGCTCCTCCTGCACAACAGCATCAAATACAATACAAAAAAAAAAGAGGAAAAGAGAAAAAAACCAAACCAAACAACCCAAGCAGAAAAAAAAACAACAAAAAAACAAAACAAAAATAAAACAAACAGAAGAAGAAGAAAAAAATAATCCACCCAGTTACATCAACTTCATCCCGTTGGCAGTGGTGTTCTCCGAGATTCCGTCACTCACGGCTGCTGAGTCGTGGAGGCCGGAATAATCCTTGAGTTCAGAGTTTGTCAGGAGCAGGGGCTGCTCCCCCTTCTTGTGCGGCAGGAGGGGCTGCCGGGTGTAATGTTCCCCATCCGGGATGTTCTCAGGCAGGTTCTGGTTCTTGCTCTCCGGCAGCAGCAGGATGCAGATGATGCAGATGAGCGTACAGCAGGCGAAGATGACGTGGTGGAGGAAGTAGCCTTTCTGGTTGTGGAGCTCCATGATGGGGGCGGTCAGGCGGCCAAAGCCTGCGCTGGCCAGGACCAGCCCCAGCCCTCCTCCCCTGCAAACACAGCAGAGGTGAGAGCCTGGCCCTGCAGCTTGCTCCTACCAGCACAGCCCCAGCAGCTCTGTCAGGTCCCCCAGACTCCCCGCCTCCCGTGCACCCAGGCATTTGAAACCCGTAAGGCAAAGCTGGCTTGCTTACAGCTTTTCATACTGTACAACTGCCCCACTAGGGATTTGCTTTGCTGCTGTAGATCACCACTGCCTACTTGCCTATGTGGGGGGCAAAAAACCTATACTACACTCACTCAAGTACCTTTCCACATCCATATAACTGCCCTTGTGGAAGAAGATGAGAAGCACTATCACGTCAGTGTGTAGACAGCCCTCTAAAGCATTGCTATGTCTGAGTATTCCTACATTCAGCAAGGAAAAAGTAGATTTTACTTGGCATGCCAGCCTTCTCCAGAAGCAGTAGGTGTGGGAGTCAATTTTTGCTGCCTCTAAAGTGCTCCATATCAATCAGCAGTGGAGGCAGGAGATTAGACTTTACAGGTCACTGCCTCAATCCATTATACCAAAAAGTGAATGCTGAAATATTATCTCCATAAAAGTGTGCTGTGGCTGGAACCTCTCAACACACTGACATTGAAATAACATGCATGATTTTCAGAAAAAAACCCCAACCAACCAACAACCAAAACTAAAGATAAAATAGCCAGCGGTCAAAATAGGAGAACAAGAGTTTGGGATTAGTTTTCGAGACCTCCTCTTAACTTACTGTACAAGTTGAGGTAGGTCCCTCACTGAACTCTCTCTTGCTCTCCTTGTAATACAGCAAGGGGTTACAAAAAGATTAACGTTAGTGAAATGGTTAAATTGTAAGTAGGTAACTTTCTAAAATATTCTTTATGGCATACATGCTTATTTATTCAATGTACTGTGCTTTTATATCAAGATCATACATTAAAACTTTAAAAAATAGAAGTGTGAAAAGAACCTCATCTCCCTGCAGTCACAAGCATGGAAGTTATTTGCACAAGCCAAATTCAAGGTTCTCTCCTGATGCAAGGCTGTGCAAGCAACCTCTCTTGCAACTCCTGGTCTTGCTCACGGACGCCTCTCGAGGTGCCAGAGCAGCTGTGCCTGGCACACCCCCAGCCACACACACCCACCCGCCTGGTTTTGAGACACAGCTCGTGCTCCCGAGGCCTGTCCCTGCTAGGTGATCCTGCACAGAAGCATTGCAGGTGTTTCCTGGGGCAGATAATTTCCTCCTCCTGCCACAGCATGACCGAGGTGTCTGGCCAGCAGAGTGTCACCCTCAAGTGACTCATTTTAGCAACATCTCTAAGAACAAGCAGCAGCTTTTCCTTGATATTCCAAAGATCCTGCTGCCTGCAGAGGGAGGTGTCCCCATGAGTTTCATTGCTGGCACCCTGCTCCCCATTCCATCACTGAGCTGGCCCAGGCAGCATGCTTCCTGTGGCTCCTCTGGGAGATGCCACCTATTCCCGAACCCTCTGGTGATCAGACAAGCTCAGGTGCTTCTGTTCCTGGCCTAGGGGCAGAGATGTAATTATTAATGATAACTGGACCTTACAGAAGAGAACTGCAGAGGGCAGACAAACTACTTTGTGTCAACAACTTGGGGGAAAAAAAAAGTTTCATTGACTGTTGAGCATGCTAGAAATCACAGCTCTATATATAAACCTACACATGCCAAATTCACTCAGCCAGCCACTGCGTTAAAGATAATCTTCACTCAATCCTTCTCCAAATCCACTGCTGCTTACTTGACAACTAAAGGACAGCAAGCACGGGTTTCAAAAAATGCTCTTGGGACACTGACTGGATCAAAAATTCATGTATGCACCTCCTAAGTCTCCAGATCGGCAGAGCATCATTCACAGACAACAGAGATTTTCCCAAAATACTGCAAAAGCTCTTATTAAAAACTTGCCAGCTTTCTGGTAGCAATTTAGAAAGCCAGCTGAATGGGGCCATTGTGCAACTGGCCTCCCTGCAACTTCATTAATATGCTCACATGAGCAATGGACACAACCAGCCCCCAACGCTTGGCAAATCACTCTCCAAGTTGGCTCTGGAGCAACAAAAGCCCAGCTCATTTACATCAGTATTTGCTACGGCTAAATTGTATCTCCTCCACCAAGAAGGACCTGAGGTGAGTTTTAAAAGCTGCTGTAGAAAGACATCAAGCAAGCTGAAAGGAAACAGGAAAAGGCAACAACAAAGACGGCTCTGTCATTATGGGTCCAGCAGCTTTGGATTTGGAAGGGGAAAAAAAGTTTTTCCATATGACATCAGTAACTGGGGCAGGCATCACTTTACCCAGCACCATCAAAACCTGGCAGAAGGGGGCTTGAAAATACATTTGGTACACATAATTGACTATACTGCAAATATGAACATGGGGGGAAAAAAAGAAAACTGAAAATACTGTCAGGAATTTTTTGCTGTCCAAATGAACATCAGGAGAATGGGTACAGGGCAAGAGAGGCAGCACCCTCACCATTCACACTGGTTTGCAGCCACTTTGGGGCAGCAGGTGGAGATCAAAACCAATCATGGTGTTTTGGGACACCACTCTTTCTTAGTATGGCAATGGACTGGTGTCTGTATTTCAAATGCTCTCCAAGGTGCAGATTGCAACTGACGGAAGGAGTGTGAAGGCTGCTGGCACCCACAGTGAGCCCCAGCTTTTCCTGCTGGCACCAGTTGCTGCAGGGGTTTCCCATGGCACAGCCCCATGGGTGATCAGAGCTGCTTCCCTGACCCCTGCTTGCCCAGTGGCAGGGAGACAAGAGGTTTTGCGTGAGGTTTACGGTCCTGATACGGGCAAATCACAAAGAGACCTTGGTCCAAAATTTTGTCCTCAGATAGGCCCTCTCTGATCATGGGGGAGAATTTCCCTGCTTGCTACTGCTGTGTTTATTCAGAGAATGGTAAAACCTCCTTGCTGATATTCTTTGCTCAAACCAGGCTAAACCTATGAAGGGAGACTTGCCCTTCTCAGCACCACTCAGGCTAACACAGAGATGTTAATCCTATCTGCCAGTGGCCATTTGTCTGTCTTGATATGCAGCATGGCTTGGAGTACCAAAGAGCCAGAGAACTATTCAGGTTGGAGGAGACATTGGGAGAGCACCTACTCCAGACTCCTGCACAAACCTGGGCCAACTGAATTCAGGCCAGGTTTTTTAAGGCTTTGTCCAGTCAGCTCAGCTGTTTTTTTGCAGTCAGTCCCTGGAAACCTCTGCTTTTTCTCTGGCTTGCCTTTCCTGCACACAAGGATCCTGTTATGGGCTCATTCCTGTGCCACAGCAGGACGCTCTTGGCCTCATGGGGCAAGGCACTGCTTTTGAAAAGCCAGGCCTGGTTCAGGTCCCAGTAAACAACACTGCACACCACTGGAAATTTGGCTTGAGACAGCTATGGATGGGTAAAGATCCTCATTTGGCCATCGCTGCCCACTCTGTTTCTTTGGCTGGGTGAGGGCAAAAGCAAGACACAGAGAAGAAAAATCAGATCCTTTTTCCACTTGTTAAGTAACCAAGCATACAGAGGATGGGAAGAGGACACACCATGCTTTCCTCAGTCTATTCCTGTTTAGCAGTTGTGCAACTCACAGTGGTGTTCCCGTGAAGATTACTAGAGATGGATTATCAGTGCCACTTAGTACTTAAATTCAGCATTTGAAAGGAGCTCTGAACTGAAGCCTCTGGTGCAAAGAATAGGAGCTCCCTGGTGAAATCCTCCTACCCAGTGTCAGCAGACGGGACTGCAGTGCAAGGGTTTGAAGAACCTCTCTGTATCCCATGACAGTGTCCCTTTATGTCTCCAGAACTGGCAGCATCCCTTGGTGATGAAGATGGCTCTTTTCCTCCAACACTGCTGCAACTGTTCATCCCAACACCACAGCAGCAGAGCTGGACAGGTGCTATGGGTTGGCCATCATGTCACGGCTAACCCAAAACCAGCAGTGCTGTTTCTTCCACTCAGGGACGGGAGATTACAGGTAAAGGATTTGATCTGGGAAATCCCACAGATGGCCCCAGTGTCCTTTCTGCCTCCCTTTCCCTTGAAGTTCCTCAAGATTCAACCAAAAGCACATTAAGATGATCTGGAACGCTAAAGAGCATCTGAGACAGTATTTTGGGGAACAGGTTATGAGGGACGAGACAGATCCCAGCGACAGGCAAGTCACGAGGCTGCCTAACCACACCTCTGCCTCAGACAGGTGTATGTACCATCTTGAGCTCCACCTACTAATTACAGCCCTGAGCAGATATTATGAAGAATTTCTCAGTGGTGGGACTGAAAAGTGCTGCAGATTGTCCTCAACCCTATTCATAAACATGGACCCTGAGGCATATCTAGCTATTGTCACTTGCCTGGTCTCACCCAGCAGAGTCAGGGGAAGCAGAGTTCTGGCTCCCAGGCAGGATATTGTCTCTTTCTGTGTAGCAACATGTGTAGTTTAAGGAAAATAAACAAGTTGCTATGTTCAGACTACACATCTGACCCTACTTGGCAGATTATCTTCTGGTTCATGTGGCCAACACCTCATCTGTATGTCTTTCAAACAGAGGCATAAAGAGGCATTAAAACACCAAACTGACTGACGTGTGTAAGTAAGTATCTGTTAGTGTTCAGGCTGCTGTATCATCTCCTCACCCCTCACGTTGCCTTTCCCTGTGGAAATAACACTATCTGTAAAGTACAGACACACAGTCAGGTAGCTTGGAAAAAAAGGCCATGGATCAAGGAGACTCTGGCTACTCAACTGACAGTTTGGCTATAAAATTTTGCCAAGTCATTGAAAAGGCACATGGTGGAAAAAAAAAAAAAAAAAAAAAAAGAGAAAAAAGATAAAGGAGTATTGTCTACCTTCTGTCTCTCCTACCCACAAGACCTACATGCCTGGGAAATCCAATGGTGTCAGAGTGGACTCTTGACTCATGGTGGCATTGCTGAAAAAATTCCAGAACACACAAGCACAACAGGGAACACATAAAATGATACAAACACCTGACTATAGAAAGACATTTTGTGGGAAGCTCTCCAGCAAAGATCATCTGCCTGATTTCTACTATTACCCAGGATGAAAGCATTCCTCTTTAGAAAAAGTTTGAGCCTCTGCTCCAACAGATCTGGGAGCAAAGATGACTTTCTCTGCAACAAAGGCAGAGCACACAGGCTGGTGCTGCTGTAGGAGAGGCAGGACTGCAGACGCTCAAGAGCGTATGAGATGCACCAAAAGCAGTTAACACTGTTGCAACACCTCCTTTCCATCGCAGCACCCCCATAGCTGGCCCAACTAACCTGCCCTACAGAGGCAAGGGCTGCCTGCACCTACACCTGCTGCTCTGCACACCAGTGGAATTTCCCTTCTCACCTCGAGCTGCAGGCTTACGCGGTCACTGCTTGTACAAACCCAGCAGAGGAAGCAAACCAACAACCTGGTTCAACTGCAGGATCTGGTTTGGCAAAGTAACTAAAGCCGCACTGCACTGCCAGCCCTGCTGATCGTCACCGCGATGGGACACAAGGTGGAGCCATCGGAAACGAAGCCTCTCCATCTACAGACAGGCATTGGCTTAGGCAGCCCGGCTGCAGTGACATTCAGCCGAAGAGCAGCACCAAAATTGCTTCGAGGTCTCCGGTGATGGGGGATTTCCCCCCTTGTGCTGTGCTCTGAGTTACACAGCCAGTTATCAATCAAACCAGGGTAATTTCGTCACTGTCCTTTGGAGACGGGGGCTCCGTTGTCTCACCTGATTACTGTGGGTGTGATTTCAGCACAGAAGAACACGCTGAGGCTTCCAACGGCATGCGAAGAAAACATCCCCACGATGGAGAAAGCGGTAGAGAACTTGTCTTTGACGCTCTCACTCATACCTGCCAAGAGAAGCGTGGTGATAAGAGGTGAGCATGAGGCCAGACTTCCAAGGAAGGAAACAAGAAAACAGGTTTATGTTAGTCACTGTCCCTAGACCAGAACCAGAGTCATTTTTGTAATACTAATTTAAAACTGGTATTTATAAAACCCATTCCGCAAGCACCTGATGCTCAAACATACCTGAAAAAAAAATGGTAATGTCATGCCAAAAACGGCAAAAACATGCAAAAAATGGCAGTGATCTCCGAATTTTTTATGCCCAGCCACCACAAAAAAAGTAAAACCCAAGAAAAACCACATATTTGGGCAGTCTTTTAGGCACCAGCCATTTCCCTCCCACATTTGACAGACAAGCAGAGGCAGGCAGCATTCATCAGGTTGCCAAGTATCTGCTCAGTGGCTAAGGCACTGGGGGAGGCCTGCAGGATGAGAGGTGAAAGATAAAGAAGTTCTCCCATCTCTGTGCTAAGACCCTGCACGTCATTAGTCTGCAAACTGCTGTAACCTCCAGCCTGAGAGCCTTTGCCTGAGAAAAGCTGATCCCCAGGATGGTGAACCACTCCCCTAAGTCAGCGGGTCCAGCAAGAAACCTCAGCAGATCTCAGCAAAGCTAAAGGAAACAGTCTCTTAGCCACTATGACAATATATCCTTCACTTGATCCCTGCTCGCCACCTTTTGTAGGCGGGGTCAGGATATTTGATGCAGGGTTGTGCAAGCTCATCTGTCCTGGCCAGTGAGGAGGCCACGTTGCTCACAGAGACTATTGCACCACAGGGGGGAAACATATCGAACCCGACTGAAGCACTGGGGAAAAGAGTGGAGCTTTGCAGCCAGCATCTCTCACCTTCCTCCAGGCCAGTCCCAAGATCTGCCCGGAGAGAGAGCTGCTCATCAGCGTGCAGTCCCAAGCAGATGGACTCTCTGCTTTGGATCCAATAAAAAGTTAACACCTGCTTTTGCTTGTTTTAGAATCATAGAATGGTTTTGGCTGAAGGGACCTCTAAAGGCCATCTAGTCCAACCCTCCTGCAGTCACCTGGGGAATCTTCAACTAGATCCAGTTGTTCAGAGCCCTGTCCAACTGGACCTCGAATATTTCCAGCGACAAGGCATCTATGACCTCTCTGGGCAACCTGTTCCAGAGTTTAACCACCCTCATTGTAAAAAATGTCTTCCTTATATCTAGTCTAAATTTACCCTCTTTTAGTTTAAAACCATTACCCCTCATCCCACAGGGCTAAAGGCCCTGTTGAATATATATGCTTTAAAGAAAGCAAAAGGTATTAATGAATTCTTTGGTTACATCTTCTGAAATGTGCTACAACCTGCTCAGGACTAAGCCCTTTTCTGCAGCACTCCCCACATCTGTGGGAGAGGACCAATACTGCCAGCAGACAGGGACATGAGCACAGTGTTTTGCAGACGGAGGGTCTCTGGGGCTCCTGGCAGCTTCTGCAGAGCGGGTAAGGGTGCAGTGCTGACCCCGCAGGGGACCAGACCTTGGGAGAGCTGGGCAAGGTACACTAAAGCAAACACAGGAGAGATGCTCCCCTGCAGCCTGGCACTGCATTGCTCTTACAATGCTTCAGCCTGGGATAAGGTGCACAGGGAAGTATTTTCTAAGGTGCCTAAGTCCCTTTATAAAAAGGGCCTTTAGCATCTCGCACTTTTCTGGAAAAGTCCAATTTGGGAATGTTGCCTTTGGAAAGACTTTCTGAGAAAGCACTGCCTTATATCTAAAAATAAACCTTGGGGAATCTCTGCACCCTCTCCTGACGTGCAGAGGCAGGTCATGGTATGTGGAGAGGATGCTACACCAAAAGCCTGCATATAAACAAACAGAGCCTATGACCAGCCTATGAGCAGGGTCCCAAAGCACTGTGTTGAAGTGGGCTTTCCCCCTGCACCCTTCTGCAGTGGCAGCTCTACTCCAGGTGCTTTGGCCCCTGCCTTTCAGATTCACCCACTCCCAGAGGAGCACCTCCAGCATGATGCAGACACATCTGTAAACCATACCTGAGTCTGGAAGTTGACTGTATTTTCCAATCACTGGATCCAAGATGATAGAAGTTAGATAGAAATAAGAGAGAAAGAGAGAGAAAAAGAGATCATACTTTTGTTACATATGCAATTTATTTAAGAAATCCAACCAAATAAAACAATCAAACCAAAGGTAAATCCCACATACAACCCCCAGCCCCCCATACACTTTTCCATGCCATAACTGGCACATCTTCCACAGCCACCAGATAGGACATGCCATTACCAGGCCCCTTTCAGCTGGAGGACAGCATGCTAATGAGGCAGTGATAACAAACACTGCAGTAAAGCATTTTTAGAGTCCCAGAATTACCACTGGGATTAACACAAAGGCCTCTTTGTTGTTAAGGAAGGGGGAGAAGAGAAAATGCCCTCCTGTTGCAGCCCTGAGGGAATGGCCAACAGAGCTTTAGTGAGAAAGCACTGGGGAGAGATCTTTTCCTCCCCAAAACTCTGAGCTGGTGGTCCGTGTGTCACCCCAGCCACCAGCTGCCATGACTCCTAACTGCAGAGACTGCAGGGCAGTACCGGGCAGCAAGAGGAAGGGCAGCAGCACGAGGTGAGCACGTCTCTACTGGTGACCTCCCAGCAGGCTCCTGTGACATCTCAGGAGACAGCCTGAGGTCTGGAGGAAAGGCTGGACACAATGAGCCTCAAGGTCTGCTGCGGGTTTGTCACTGATGGAGAGAATACCCCTCTCCTTCTCTCACCCTCCTTCTCAAATTCTCATTTCATTTGCTAATTACACCAAAATTATGCCAAGCTAAAACATGCAGGAGGCTGAAACAGATTTCATAATCAGCAGGGTTACTGCTTCTTTCCAAACCCTGTCTAGCTCTTCTGAAGAAGAGGGGGGGCATGGTCTAAAGTGAGGGGACACAAGGGCCTCCGAATGTCAAGGCTACCTTTCCTTCCTCTTCTCACCAAGAAAGCATTGAGAGAAGGCTAGGTGCCAACACAGCAGCAAGCACCTACAGCCCACAGCTGCTCTTAGTTTTAGCAAATTCACTCACAAAAACACCTAAACCCATTATAGAAAAGGTTGTAATTATTCCTACAGGGTGCTCATTCCCACCTCCCTCACCCCTTTTTCTTGTTCTTGAAAAACAGCAACCAGATGTTTATGGCTCTGGAGCAGACTTCCATGGTTCTGGCATCTTTTCTTTCTGCTAAACAGTTACATGTTTACTACCTCAACAAACATGTAATGGCCTTAAAAAAAAAAAAATAAAATTAGACCCATTTAGTGTAGAAAGACCCTGATGGACACCACCACTAGAACATGGAGTTTTGGGAGATTGTGCAAACAGAGTGTGCGTCTGCATGTGAATGGTCACATCTGTCAATGGGCTGGGATGAGCCGGGGCCATGGGCTTCTCCCACTCTCAGCTGGGACAACTGGGCACGATAAATGTGTGCTCAAAGAGAATGTAAACATCTGTGCCAAGCTGAGAGCAAACACATGTCATTTTGGAGTTTCCTCCCTGTCCTGAAAGAGTTTCCCTGTTTCCCTCCTACACTGCCACAAATAGCATGGTGACTAAAGGTTAACTTAGTAAATGCTTTCAGGAAACACAGTCTGTAAATATGGACGCCTGTTGGGTCAGGGCTTCCTTCAGCATGTGGAAATGTTAAATCTTTCCATCCTCAATGCAAAAACCTCTCTCTCATTAAAGCCCTTAATTATTTCTAAATTTAGAAATAAAAAAAAGCAACAACCAGTGTTCTGATGGTTGTCTCATAGTCAGTTTGTCCAAAGCATGTTTCAACCCTCTTCTCCCTTCCTTGGGATGAGGTTTCATGGCAAAGGGGTCTAATGACTGGCAACTGTGAGAGTGGCAAATCACATCCCACCTTCCCTCTGCTTCAACATCTCTTTGATCCACCATGTTCAACTTAAAAAATTACAACAAGAAAATGAAGTTTTAAAAGAAAAGGGAATATTTATGTAGCCATTTTAGTAGCTGAAGCAGCTCAAAAGGGTGAGAGAAAGATCACCACCTGCAAAGGAGGTAGGACATTTGCTTTTGGCACGAACAATCCATTTGAAAACCCGTGTCACCTTATGAAATCAGGTGTATACATTCACACAGACTACGCATACACTCCATATTAAAGGTAGAGTCTCTCGGTTGTGTATTTCCACGCTACCTGTACATTACTCACATGTAGCAAGATGCTCAGAGCAGGCACAGAACATACACCTATTTATTCCTTTCACTCCTGCTTGTTTCGGGGCTATTAAAGAAGCAGACTCAAGAGGGAAAGTTCTCCTTTCCCGACCCCTACTCAGCTTTTTCCCCCAAAGGGTATTTCACAGAAATGAAATTAAAAGTGTTTTTGGTTTTTGGTTGTTTTTAAGTGACAGGCCTAGAAGCAGCCCCAATGCTCCACCAAGCTTCACTACAGGGACTCACCCAGAAGACACTACCTTTTGTCCGTGAATCTAAGACACTGAGTGTTTGGTCAATCCCTTAAATGAGAACTCAGCTTCTTATACTAAGCAGGTGTATGGTTTGTCAAATCTGAAAAAGGCAAGGGAAATGCTAATATTTCCTGGTCCCTTATTTGCATGTCAAACTCACGTGGTCTGAAAAGCTCTCGTCTCAAACTTACAGTTGAGAAGGCCCAGCTGCAGAAGCGATGCCAGAGCTGTAAGGATCATGAAAAGCAGGAGTCCTCCTCTCCTCCCCAGAAACCCGACCACCGGGCACATGGCCAGGCAGGATGCCAGCGCAATCCCAGCCATGATGTAGTAGTCGGCGTAGAAGTTCTGGGTAATCGTCATCTTGGCCTCGTGCCCCATCATGCTTTTTGCGAAGCAGTGGTGTATGCCATAGCCAGTCAGCCTGGGGGAAACAGGAGAGGGCAAGAGGAGATCACTGCTGAGAAGGCACTGCAACGTAGATCAATGTAGGAACATGTGAACGCAGGAAGAATTTCTTCTGCTGCAGGAATCAAACACCTGGTGCAAAAAGACTCAGGCTTCTAGGTGATGTTGTAAAAATAAGCAATGATTAAAAGAAACCAAGGAAAAGCCTCTACTCAACCAGACATATGCAAGCTACTGGCTTCATTTGCTGCTCAAGATTGAGGTACGAGCAGCTTTATAAGGACTGTGTGTGTGACTGGTTTTCCTAAGGTATTTCAGTATTTGCCTGTCTCAAGAAGGACATCTCTGTTCCCAGTGCATCTGGTGACAGCCACAGAGCCAGTGCTGCTGCAAAGAAGCAGCCTATGTGCTTGGACAGCAAAGCACCACACCATAAAGATGGGTCTTCCAGGAAGACCCACCTGCCTGTGGCATTTAGTCTCACTAAAGATGGCATTCCACTTTCCCAGTTAGTCTGTTACAACTGAAACCCCCTTAGAAATGAGTATTAGAAGTCACACACTGCACTGCAGTGAGTATTATAAATATGAAACAATAAACCCCAATTCAACCTACACATTTGCACCACCCTTCACAGCAACGCATCTCCCTTCCTTCTAAAAATTTCTTCATGCTGCCATCAATCAACATCTTGCCACTCCATTTCATTCCTCTTTCTCCTGTATCCCCTGCCTTTCTCCAAAAAAAGAGAAAATATTAGAAAAGAATAAAAAGAAAGAGAGAGCAGGAGGGTGGAGGCACAGAAGTCAGATGAGAAGCTCCAACATCACCCCTGATGTGGTACAAAACTGCAGCAGAACTGCTAAGGGAGGTCAGTGCTCCCAACTGCTCCCATCACAGCATGAATACCCTGGCTGGGAAGGGCCTCCTGCCCCTGGTGTTTTACACCAGACAAAACTCGTGTCACAAATTAATTGTGCTTGACAGGAGTAGCAGGCACAGATCCACATCTCCAAAAAATGAATGGCAGTTACATTACACTGATACACTTCTATCCTCCTGAATGTCAGGAATTTGAAGCTCTGTCAGTGTAAACTGGATATTAATATAAGCATAGAAACAGTTGGGGCAATATACAATCACTGAGTGCATGACAGCCCAGGGCCTGGGGAATTTCTCTTGTGAATCGATGCTACAGTTCAAAAATACACCTAAAATACCAAACCTTTGCCTGCTGATAAAAAACTAGCACAAGTACTTGTTGTTACACAAGAACGTTATTTGCTTTGGATATCTAGATTATAGCTGCCTCCTCCTATAAGTGAAATATTAATAATCAACACAATATTTAATAAAGGGGCAGAGTTAACCAGTGTGTTTCTTCTTTCTCCCTCTTTTGTACATACAAACACACTTGTTGAAGGTATTTTTTAGGCCACGATCTATAAACTAAATTAATGTATCATTTTCACTTTGCTTTCCAGCCTGCTTCCCAGAAATTACTCTATTACTTTACTTCCTGAGGACTTTAGAACAGTTGCTCTTAAAACTAAATACATTTATCTCCCCTTGATGTCTTGTAAATCCCTGCAAAAGGTTCTTTCGCCATGTTCCAAGCTATGAAAATTTAGCACAGCCCCATCTAACGGGAACAAGAGAATTACAATTAAGTAGGTTTTTTTTCACCCCTTGAAAACAAACACAAAAACTATTTTCTCAAATATACATCTGCTTCCCACTCTACTTGGATGGCAAACCACCTCTGTGTGTTATTGACAGAAGTTATTATTTGGGCTGCCTAGTTCTGGTTTAGGGAATTTCCACTTGTGTGTAAATAAAAAGGGTGAGGGAGAAGGGGAAAATTCCACAAGGTGTTTCACAAATACATTTAACACTGGCTACTAAATCTACCAGCTCAGACTAAGAGGAAAATGCTCTTTCAGAACAGAGGGACTTACCCACTGGTAGGTGGGAGAGAGACACAAAGTCTTAAAACCAGAGTTTTATTCAGCACCTGGCAATGCTGGAGACAGACCCCTGAAATCTCTGTGCTTCTGAGTGACACTCTGCCCAGAACAGAGATTTCCCTCTCTGGGTTGTGACTGATCTGTGTGTCTGTTAACAGCAATGAAGGCTGCAGAGTAGAGCCCTGAACTACTGAAGAAAAAGCCACAAGAGAACTATGTACTTCTAAACAGAGCAGAGTAGGGGGCAGATTTCCAGTCTTCTCCCACCTCCCATATGAAACAAAATAAACCCCAAACCAACCAAACAAATGAAAAAAAAAAACTGCAGAAGGAATTACAATGGGCATTTTATAAGTTTGAAAAACCAGAAATGCACCCTCCATGGCCTCCCAGAAGTTGGGATTGGTTACAGGCCAAATTTCCAGTCCACCTCTTTCTGTACAAGGGGCTCAGTTTTGGTCAGAAGGTCTCAGAGCCAGTAATCTGCAAAACCCTCAGGCAGATGCCTGGTTTTGCCCATGTAAGCATGTGCAAGCTAAAGCATTGAGGCATCACCTCATTCTGTGCCAGACAGCATATTCTTCCTGTGTGCCCTGTGCATGATTTGGGAGCATTAATGACTTCAAAAATCCCACCCATGATGCCAGCACGAGATGTCTGCATGTGTGAGCATGTACCAGCACGTGGCCTCACGTGACCACTGGTGACAGCAACGCGCTTGCAGCACAACACCTGAGAAGACACGCGGTTCTGCTCCCTGAAACAGCCAATGAGTCCCTGCCATAAAAACTTCTTTGCCATAAAAAAATAATTCCCTGCAATAGCTGGTGTTTTCCTAGGATCATTTATCAGAGACACTGGTGAAGGGTCCCACACCTGGAAACAGAGGAGCTCCCCATCATTTCCCATTGCTTCTTCCAGTTCACCAACCACGCAACTTTCAAGCAGAAGGAGATTGGACTTACGAGTTCACACACAGTACTACGATGTTTTTCCACAGGTTCCTTGTTCCCACCACTTTAACAATGCAGACTTTCTTTGGTCTCCTGGTGATCTCCTTCTCCAGCTCTGAAAAAAAACAAATAAAAATTATACTTCCACTGGGAAGAATGAGAAGGAGAAGCTTTACTTGTGAACTACTGATATTCTGAAGCATGTTCTGGAAAGCACAACACTATCAATTACACTAACAGGAGCTATAAAAATACTGAATAACCTGCCTTAAGTCCACCTGAGTTTCCTCCTTTTCCTGCAGACTTCCCTTAACCTTCTTGGCACTGAAGAACAGCCCAAGAACTCCTTCACACCCTGAGTTTAAAACGTGTATGTAAAATGGGGGCAGTATGGAGCTTGATCCTAGCAAGCATGATAGAAAATTTCCTGAAGAACTTCAGGATTCTGATAATTTTTAAATCCCCCAGAGTTAGGACCGTGCTTATGCAGTTACAAGACCTGATGTCATTCTGCATTGCAGATTTGAAAAGCCATGGAAAGGACTGGAGCTCCAGCTCACTTTTGAGAAAATTTTTTTGAGGTTTGTTCAAATCCAGGCTTCAGAAAAGAAAATGGCTGGGACACTGTCAGCTCATCCTCTGCCTGCTCCCCCATTTCAGATATTTAAAATTGCTCTGATGGATGTCCTAAATAGAAGACATTTCCCTAATGAAAAATCCTTGGGCATCATCAGATGTGATGTCTTGGCATTTCAGAAAGCTAAAGCTTTACCATGCCCTTGAAGTGCTGGGCAGCTGCAAGCTAACCTCTCTGTGCAATGCTATAGCAACGCACAAGCCTCGCAAACACTGCACCTGACGTTCTTGTTGGCACAGGACAAAAATGAAGGACACTGCTCACTTCTCAAATATTGTTAGGTTAGACCCTGAACACCTACCTAAGCATGCCAGCAAAACCACCGTTTCCAAGCTACAGGATCAGTGAGATCTAATGCAAGTGCACAAAGCCAGGTCAAAATGGAAGAAGCTGCAGCTATGAAGAAACATCCCAAAAAACGTAGCACTCCAGGAGTACAGGCTAGGACTGTTTCTTTAGAGCAAAGGCTTGTACTGCTGCTTCCTAGACCAAGTGGGTTCAAAGGTGGCAGCGTGGCCCTGTTCTGGACCATGCATCCATTCCCTTTGTGCATTAGCCCGGGTGTCCTCAGCTGCCCCCACTGGCCTGCCCTGACCTCTGCCTTACTCTGCTCAATAGTAATCTCTTTAAGAGATGCAAGGCAGGGAAAAATAAAAGCAAGCCTCAGGGGGAAAAAAAACCCCAGCACAACAAAAAAAAACACCCCATACCAGAGAGATAAATCACCCTAATATACAAACAAGAAAAAGAGACACATTTGTCTGCTGTTATTTGAAAACTGTATCATAAAAATAATAAATCAAAGAAGTACTATTTACATGCAAAATAGTTGAGCTATTCAGAGCTCATGGGTTACTCCCGGTCTTCTATCTAAAGTCACTAAAGGGAATGCTTCTGAGAAAAGCAGCAAGGGGTATTTCACATTAATGATTGTACTTCAGTAGAATATTGTGCTACTACTTTCCTTACTACCTGATAGTATCAATGTCTACGCAGCATGAAGTTCACAAAAGCATAAAGACAGAGGTGGAGCAAAAGAGGAAATTGGTCAAATTAATATTTGTGCTGCAGGAGCACTTGACAGGCTCAGCAACAGATCAGGGCTATACTAAAAAAAAAAAAAAGGCAATAAAAAATGATGGTACCTAATCTCAAAGAGCAAGGTCAAAATTATTTTTTTGCTATGATTCTGGAAAAGAGTAAGTGGGAATAAAATAATTCAGAACAGCTGAAGCAGTTAGATAAAATATAGTTATAAAGTCCATAACTGAGCCCAAGCCAAACTTTCCACAGTGAAAAAGTCAAAGCAAGCACTGGAAGCAGCACAAAATTAAAAAAAGCTGCTGATAGCTGTTCACTATTTCAGCTGAAGGGCAACAATGAAAATCATCACCCAAATAACACACTTTGCAGAGATTTTGTGTGGACATAAGGGTTCACTCTTAAACCGTCTAAGAATGACCAGATCTGTCATTCCTTAATAACAAAGTAAAACATCTCCTCTGTCAGCAGAAGACAGTTCCCTGATGCCACATCCTTTGGATTTTCTTGAATCGTGGGGTTTGTTTGGTTTTTCTCAGAGTAATTTTTACTTTTTTTTTCTTTGGGAAGAGAAAGTATATTTTATTGTCAGTATGTGTTTTACTGATCCATAACAATAAAATTAAGAGAAGCAACACTTAATTACCTCTCCTCTGAGCCAAACATTGTTTTGCTCTCTACTCCAGCTTTGTTCATACATTAGGGGTTGCTACAATCCATATGTTCCTTATTTACTGTCACACATCCTTCTGATGTGCACTCAGGCCCCCCTTTCACCTTTCTTATGAATCAGACCTTCTGAACTAATTCTTGTTAGTGTTTTTCACTCAACTGCTATTCTGCCCCCAAGTAACAGACAGCCCCATGGGTCATATGAACTGACAAACACCTCCTCTGCTTCAGCTGCAGCAAGGATCTCACATGAGGGGGATTTCACCCCTACTCTGCCCTGCCTCATGCAGCAGTGTCCCTTCAGTAGACTCTTGCTTCTGCTCTGATTGAGTTATACTCCATGGATACGTAGCATCATTACATGAAAATGTCCTAAAAGAAATCCCAGGTGTAGCTGCATTACAAGGATTAAAGAAAAAACTCCACAAACATAAAAAAGGAAAAACCCAAAGCAAAATGAAGATTAAAAAAACTCAACTAGCCGAAACAAACAAAAAACCAGCCTCAAATCTTATACACTGAAGAATGCAAACAGCACCTGATTTCTCACTTGAAAGCCTTCTGGCTCTGTCAGCTGTTTACCTCTCCATCCCTCTGCCATGTATTAAAATTTGAAAACTAAGTCACCTGCTTCAGATCAACGATGCTGAAGCCTCCAACATGTCTCTCTGACAACTTTGTCCATAAATATACCAGTCATAAGTTCACAAAAAAGAAAAACCCCTACTGTAAAATCAATCATTAACAATAATCAAAATATCATTCAGAGAGCAACAAATGAGCTATGTGACTTGCAAAAAAGCCATCACCTACAAAACTGGCTCTCATTTAAGTGGCCTGTTTTTTCTTAGAGGTAGCCTGATTTGCACAAAAGGACCTGCTCTGACTGTGATGGGCACCAGGAGACCAGATGCCCTTAGGCTGTCTAGACCTCAGAGCTCAATACAAAGATCCCAAAAGAAGTCAAACCAATTCCTACTAAAACCCCATGGAAGCAAACTATTCTCTCTCAGTTACTAGAATTACATATAAAACCATCCCCCTCTCCCCCAGTCTATTCTTTGATTTTGCACTGAAGTCACCAGTTCAGAAGGAATTTGCATTAAACATTTCAGTTCTGACTGATTTATGGAAGGGTGAGGTTGGAAAATAAAAAAATACTTTCATCCATTTATTAGGAGGCCCATTATGAGTTTTCCCATACTCTGGAGCCCACACACACTCTAGGCTTCCTATTCAGGGACTCGGTAGGAAAATTGTCAACAACCTAACTCTTTACATCTCAGTGGAAATGAGAACTATTCATTGGGAGACTTTAAAAATCTCACGGGGAGGGGAACCCTACCAGGTTCCAGCCCTCAAAGCTGCTGATTTCTCATGGGATTCGCTGCATTTCAGGAGCACAGCTTTCAAAACCAGAAAGGATCTTTAAAGCCTTCAAATGAAGCCACCCACCTCTGCATCACTTGGCAAAGACAAAATAGACAACAGACTCAAATCAAGTTGCTGAAAAAGAATGTCCAAAATGACAAGTGTCCTGTGGTGATGGACTTCTGCTGGACTTTTCTGGCTGCTAAATGATACTGTCGGTAGCACTTTGAACATGAAAAGAGCTATGGAAGCCCAGCACAGAGACCCAATCAATCCCCAGAGCACGACAGCTCTGCTGCAGGAGGTAGTTCAGTCTGAAAGGCAGAGCTGAAACGACCTACTCTCATACACAGGGTTATTTATGCCTTTCAGGAATTCTGTCTCCATGAACTGCCTTTGTGCTTATTTATTTTTATCATGGAGGAGCAGCAGCCTGAGCTGCATTTTTGAAAAATCTCATAGTAAAGGAATACTGAGGGCTATCAAGCCACATACAGAAAGAGTAAGGAGCTGACAGTAGTAAGGGACAAAAAAATGGAAATCATAAGAGGATGGCAGGAGGCTAATGCCAGGGTGACTCATCTTACTCTCAAAAAATACATAAATATGAAATTCTTTAATAACCTCACCAGGGACCTTGGCACAAACCTTAGGAATGTGTCAATGAAGTCCACTGGTGACAAGTGAGGTGCTGCCAGCAGTACAGCACAGACGTGGGATGTAAGAGGGATCTGGGTGAGCTAGAGACTCTGTGTGCCCAAAGCAAGTAAAAATACAAAGCATGAGGTAAGATACTGAGAGACTAATGGGAAATGCTTCTGCTGGAAGATAGGCTCTTAGCAAATACTATGTTTGACTTGATTATAGACAAACACAAGTGACTGTGAGGCACCCATTTGTTGTGTCCATGAGATACCTGCAATCCAGACAATGAAATCCTGGTGCTCTTTTACAATTCTGGTCTCATCAATATTTGAGAAGCTAAAGCTTTGGCAAGCCTATTTATAAAAGGAAATGTGATAGAGAAGAACTTCAGCTCATCAAAGCAATAGTGCTGCTGTCTGCTCACAGAGCATGAGAAAAGAGAAGAAGATATTGAAGATAGTCACACACAGGTGAAAACGGGAAGGGGAAAAGGACAAAGAAGCTGGACAGGTGTAGTGTACTTGAATGCTAAAATATACCCCAGTACAAGACCAATTTGGAGTCTGGAATGGCTTTCCAACAAAAGCACAGGACATAAATATCAACAGCAGTTAAAACAAAGATCATTTCATGAGAGCAACTGCTAAACTCCATGACTGTAATAGCAAAGGGTTGATTGCAATAATTTGTTTCAATCCTAAATTTCTAATTACAATAAAAAAAGATAGGAAAAGCCAGACATAAGGTTG